TGTCCCTGAAACTGCATGCTGGGCTCTTCCTCCCCTGCCTGTGGCTCGCTCACAGGCTCCTAGGAGGTGGGCTGCTGGCGGTCCTGTCTGGAGTTGGGGGTGTTGGGGTCCCTTTAAAATGCAGACAGGCGTGCAGCCTGCTGGGCTGGGGCTCTGCCCCTCTTCCTTTCCTTTCTACTCTCTTTTGTAATAATTGTTTCATATTTTTATTGTCCATTTGACATGCTAAGGAAAACAAGCTCGTTGCCAGCGAGGCGATGCTGGCTCTCAGCTGCCCTGCAGGACAGGGTAGAGCTGCCCCTGCGGGTTTCCCAGATGCAGATCTTTAGGGGAACAGAAAGTCCGACTTTCTCCTGTGGAGTGGGGGGGTTTCAAACTGCTGACCTTGCAGCTCGAAGCCCAGTGTGTACCCATTACACTGCCAGGGCTCCTTGTGACACGCCAGTTTGTTGTTTAAGACTTTACCGGTTGCATGGACACAATTCACACAGCCTACAAGTTGGTGGTGTCAATGTGTTAAAAGGAGGTGTGCAGTCGCCACCACATTCGATTTTAGGGCATTTCTTCTCTTTCTTGGCCTCATTATTAGCTCCCCGTGTACCCCTAGGCTGTCCGCCGTGACCCTGTTAAATACACAATTCATCCAGTTACTGGCTCTTCAGATTTACTTAACTTCTCTCCTGGGCCGCCAGATGAGCCCCCAGCCCTGCAGGCCCCAGGGGTGGTGGGGTGGTGGATAAGGCCCAGAAATGGACCTCGCCCACCCCCTTAGAACCCCCTCTTCCAGCACCTCACCCAACCGCATGAAGAAGGGCTGTAGGCATCACAGAATGGGACCGGGGAGGGGCCTTCCCAGCCCCCTCATTTCACAGAAAGGAGGCTGGGGCTCAGAGAGGTTGGGTGCTTGGCCAAGAGGCCACACAGCATTCTGCTGGAGCCCACGGCACTGAGGGGAGGGCTGTGGGTGGGGAGACAGAGGCTCCCGGCCGGCGCTGACTCGCGGGGCACCTATGTGTGTCAGTGTGTCACTGACCAAGTGCGTGTGTGTCCCCCGTGAGGCGGTCACTGCAGTGAGCCTGTCCCCATCTGCCTCCAGTCTGAAGGAATGCTGGGGGAGGAGCCGGCCTGCAAGTCAGGAAGGCCAGCTGGTGCTGCCCTGGATCCGGCTTCCCCTCCCCACCCCTGGGCCTCAGTTTCCTGAAATGCCACAGAGGGTGGGTGTGCCACGTGTCCATTTGGTCTGAGGGTGAGGCACTGCCTCTGGTGTCCCGACATGGCGGTGGGGGCGGGGATCCCAGGCCCGCTCTCCACACCCCTGCTAACAACCCTGCTCCCCTCTCTCTCTCTCTCTCTCTGCCTTGCCTCTTCTCCGCACTGCGCTGCCTGCAGAGGAGCACCCCGTGGAAGGTGAGTGTGTGCCGGGTCACTGGGGTAGTCGCCCATCGCCGTGGGGGGTCCTGTGTGAGGGGGGTGTACAGCTGGCCACCTAAGCGTCTTCTCCTTGCTCCTGTCAGAGCCCCTCGGGGAAGGCCCGGTGGGCTTCCTGTCTGGGCCGCTTGGGGCCACCTCCTGGTTCTTCTGGGGTGAGAGGGCATGCCCAGGCCCCCTGTGTCCTGCTGAGTGTCACCCGCCCCAGCTGCTGCTGCCCTTCCTGAGTCCTTGAGGGACAGGAGAGGGGACAGTGGGGAGCAATGGGCAGTGGGGCTGAGGGAGGGGCTGGCAGGAGTCTCAATGCTCAGCCTGTGGGGCCCACAGCTCCACCCAGCTGGATAGAAAGCCCAGAGGAGCAGTGCCACTGGGGAAAGGAGGGGAGAGCAAGTGGAGGTGCCACTTCAGATACCTCCGGGTGGGGTAGACTCCACTTGCTGTGGGGTGCAGGTGGGCTGGGGGGGCACTGTCCGTGCAAGTAGAGAGTGGGGGCCCACCCTGGGTGCCCCTGTTTCTCCCCCTGCCCCTGCTTCAGCGTGCCAGAAAGTAGGGGTGGCCTGCCGCTGCCTCAGTCTGGGGCCCAGGTGTGGGGAGCCTGCTCTCCTGGGGGGCCTCTCAGTCCATGCTTTGCTATCTCTCTCCATCAGCACCCTCCCCGACCTGTGCCCCTTTAAATTCTCTCTTCCTTGGGGGCTCCACCCTGGGGACCCCCCTCCAGGACGCTTGCTTGGTCACTGTGCAGCCCAGCCTCTCCAGGTCTGTCTGTCTGTCCCTGGACCATCCCCTCTGCTGTCCTTCCTTCTCCGGAGCAGTCAGAGCCGGCGGAGGGCAGCAGGAGAAGTTGAGAGGGGACCCCAGCGGGCACCCCTGCCCCCTTGTTCTCTTCTCTTGGAAACCTGGGAGTGGGAGGGGCCTTGCCAGGCCCAGGCTGGGAGCCCCAGGAGACGGGCTTCCCAGTGGGAAAGAAAAGGGGAGTTGGCCTGAGTGGGCACAGGGGCCTGTCGTCCCCTGTGGGCTCCATGGGCTCCACAGTGTGGCTAGCCTCTTTCCCGGGCATCCCCAACCTGTGTGTGTGTATGTGTGTGTGTGTGTGTGT